TTTCCATTTATACAATTTGATATATATTTGTTTAAATAATCATATTTTTTTTAAAAAAAGAAAAAACATCATATAACTCTTTATAAACACAGGTAATTAACTAAATTAGCTATACAGACTTTGAAAATAAAATTTACACCATATTATATGTAAATTAGCTCTAAAATCAATAGTGTAAGATAATTTACTTTGTACTATTATTTTCATATAATGCACTATTTTAAAATAAAGCTTACACAATATTATATTGTGTACCTATCAAATAAACAATTTAAGATCTAAATTAACTAATATATATATATATGTGTACTTAAACAGATAGACCCATTATTTAAATCATCGGATCTATTTTTTTATTACTTTGGACTATTATTCTCAAATAATGCATTGTTTTAAAATAAAATCTACACCATTACCATTATGTTGTGTACCCATTAAATTGACAATTTAATATATATATATATATATATATATATATATATATATATATATATATATATATATATATATATATATATATATAAACTAATTTACATTTGCACTAAAACCGGTGGACCCATTATTTAAATCATCGGATCTATTGTTAATAATGTCTAAAGTTCTCTTTTTGGCCCACTGCACAATGCACGTCTGCACCTCTACCTTTCGCACATGTGACAAAGTGTCGTATTTGAGGCATCTTGGGTGATCACGACCGCTGCAGCGCTACCACTTTTGTTAATAGCATGAAAAAAATATTAAAGGTGTGATGCAGCGAGAGAAGAATTAAGTACCGTGGAACACTTAACTCTGTTTAAGATGAAATCGAGAGTTTATTAAATAATAATTATAATATATTGTGTTATGTTGTATTTGGATTTTGTATTATTTGTTCGTACAGTTGAAAGAAATCATTATGTTATAATTGTGAACACAATATTAACGAATATCAATAGAACTCTTACTAGGATAAGAGTGTTATAAGGGAGTTTAAGGCCCTATTTTTTCCCTGATTCCATCTTTTGAATTTTCATTTGCACGCTCCATGCTTTCCAAGTTACTAAATGGTGCTTTTATTAAACAACTTTTTAACTTTTTAGAAGTCAATTCATTCGTTTATAATCTCAAATAGCTATCACATAAATAAGATAATTCATCAATTTCAGTTATCCTAACCTCTAAAGTACATATTTTTTTTCATGCGAGTCATGGTGATAAGTAAATTGGTGATCAACGCATAATCAAAATCGTATGATGAATCTGTAAGAACTACTATGACCAATTGTAAATAGGTGTCAAAATTAATTGCTATTAATTAAACATCTAATGGCTTGCTAGCGACATATTTAATTTTTCTCTACATATATATAAACATGGACGAAGCTAGAACGAATATTAACATACATCCCATACATATATATTACATGTTAATATTCTAATTACATGTGGTAAGTCCATTAAAATTTCTTAAAATGCCCTCAAGATGACACGTGGTGCTCTAATAAATTAGAGAAAATATTAGAAATTCTAAGAAAAAAAAAAGCAAAGTATCTATTACTTGATTTTCACTTGAATCGATGGGTCCAATAGTTTATAAACTATTAGATTAAATTGATATTAGAATAAACTAAATACTACGAGGTCCCACCTCTCCACCTTTGGTACGCACCTACTCCCCTCCCTTTTTTTATTTTTTCATTTCTTCTTTTCTCCATGAATATGCTTCCCTCCCTTTCTTACTATATCATGCACCTTCATGAGACGATTTAATCTATTTACTCAAGAAAAAAATATATTTCAAAAGTTGTAAGTACTTAATCCATCTCCCACTCAAAGTTTGTAAATGGATTTTTAAGATATCTTAACAAAAAATCGAACCCTTAAATTATTATAAAATAACAATATCCGAACTTTAGTTTGCCCTTAATTATGAGATATTTTTTTTAACAAACAATAAAAATCTTACCTTTCAATAATATAAGTGCCCGCGCGTATGCGCGGGCCACCTTCCTAGTTTTGATAAAGGTTGCATCAGTAATAAACCAAACAAGCGCTTTGGTGGTTCTACATGATCAAAAGCAGTACTACCAAACAGGGCCTTTAACCTCAAAATCACTGTAACTTTAACTGCTCTATCCAGTAATGATAGTAGAAGCATGGATGTATCACTACATGATTCATTCATTTGAGCAAAGCCGACATGAGAAGACCAGCAATCCAGCATTTGATCGTGGTCGTCTGATGGTTGAAAAGGCATTTGTATCGACTTATGCTAGCCCCTATCAAGGTTGGTTATCCGTCAGCGTGATCGTTGATTTTGCACGGAAAACAACAGGAAAACATAAGGTCTACTGGAACACTACGAGAGTCTACGATACGGACGAACTGAAGGGCCCTTGCGTTTGACGCCGGGTTTAGGTCGCCTTGGCTCCGTTGATGTCACCGTTTGGGCGTCCGTGTAGGAGGGGCCAGCCAAGTACTGCACTGATTAGTTCTTGATCACTCTGCTGGCCAGTAATCTCTCTTCATCTTAGGTCGGCTTGGCTACTAGTAGTTGAGGAGTAAGGCCCTGCCTTTTGTAGCTGGCACACGCTTGAAACTGTTGACAATTTTTGCTCCATCGAACATCAGGTTCAGACTTTCAGTCATCGTTTTCGATCCCCTTGCTTGTTGCAGCAATTTCATTCAGAGAAAGCATGTGTGTCAATGGACACTCTTCAGCTGCAAGAATCAATAATGTACTTCCTTAGAGTAAGTTTAATAACGGAGCCAACTATAAGCTTATAGTTTATATTAAAGTTAACATATATAGTAAGTGAGCTACAAGGTTATCTCTTTTTTTTTCTCCTCCTCTCTCTATCTCTCACCTATGCATTTAATGTATTTATCTTGAAGTATGTGAATTGCTAGCTCTTGTATTAGAGCCAATCCTCTCTAATTTTCAAATTCTCTTTCATCCACATAAGCTTATAGTTGGCTTATAGCCTACTAGTATACTTGCTCTTAGTATTAGGGTATTCCCAACCCAATGACTAGGATGGTGTCCATAGCATTAAATAAGTTACCACTTAGGATAAAAAATGATGTGGCAAGTGAATAAATGAGGAAAGAGAAGGAAACCATATCTTGCATGGGACATGGTTTTCTACACAACATCCAAGACATCATGTGAGATAAATAGCATTAAATTGGAGTATGGAATAGTGGTGTTTGCATTGGAAGAGTAGTATCTAGGACTAGTTTCTTGATGATGTGGAGTTTATGGAAACTATGTCTAGTGTTATGGGTTGGGACTGCCCTTACTGCTTCTAAATGAGACTTGTGACTGCTGGTCTCCTTTGATTTACTTCCTTACTTGCATGAGATTTTTTTCATGTGTTATTGACGTACTACCTCCGTCCCAAAATAAGTACAGCCGTGAATATCCGTGCCCAACGTTTGACCGTCCGTATTATTTAAAAAATTTGTGAAAAATTTAAAAATATTTAGTCACACATAAAGTGCTATTCATGTTTTATCATCTAATAGCAATAAAAATACTAATCATAAAAAAATTTCAAATAAGATGAATGGTCAAACGTTGAACGTGAATAGTGCAAAACTATACTTATTTTGGGACGGAGGGAGTACTGAAGTACTGGAACAAATATCTGATGATGTTCCAATCTTTCTTTAGTTATTGCACCGGTAAAAGATTGCAATAAGAAACTGGAGTTAGTACGCACTTTAGGCTACCCTGAAGAATTTTTTGCATGGTGGTTAGTTTATTGAAGGTGTGGTGTCATCCTTGCGTGTAGAGATTATCACATTGTCTAATCAAGAAGAGCCAGGAGCTAAGCTAATCTAGCTCGGCCGCGAACACGACAGCAAGTTATCTTGAAGGAATCAGTCAGTTGACTAAGCAGGCTCTCGCTCTCTCCAGTCCAGAAAAGCTTCGGCATTTAGAATCCCCTGTTTGCAACAGGCGACAAGGCAACTTTCATATGGCACCAAACATGTCGGTAACAGCTGATGAAACCGTCTAATTTATCTGCTAATCTCGCTGTTTTTTCCCTTGTCAGGATGGCTCACAAGTGGACCAAGTTGTAGAATGTTGCAAAACCCGTTGTTTATCATGGCCACATTCGGCTAGCGATGCAGAGCGATTGACAGAGAAATCCCATGCGACTTAAGAAAAGCGAAACCGGGGCCCTCGTTTGCCAGCCAGGGTGGCTAACGACTGGAGTGTGTGCAACTAGCCGCTGACAGACAACGCGACGCTTGTTATCATTCGCAATGCCGACCTGATGGATGTGAGCTCGACGTGACTCAGCTACAGGAGGAGGAGTTTGGAGTCATTTGCGTTTTTAGTCCAACTCGGTGAAGGGTCATCCCGGATCATCTGCACTGTAGTGTGCAGGGTTCATGACTTCCTGTGTTGCAGCCCTGAACCTAAGGATCGTTCTGTAGTCGTAGGTCCATGGTATCATGATTAATCATGGTTGAATGATTCTTTTGCTCCTCCGCGTTGTGGAGGTCGATTTCTACTGTATCGTAGTCCAGATTCTTGTGCAATGTTGACCATGTTCATTGGCCTGGCTTGAGCTCCAAAGAGCCCTATTATTTCTCTTATACATATGCTTATCCTTACAGCTTATTAACAAATAGAAAATAATTTACAAATAAAACTTTCATATAAGTCTCACTAACGACTCAAAAATAAATGTTGTAAAATAAACTGCGATAAAAAAAATAAGTTCAATATTTAGTTTTAAAATTTAACTTTTGACTTATAATTATAAGTATAAAAAAATGAGGCCGTAATTGAAAGTCTTTTCTGAAGAAAATGGGAATAAAGATGAGGATTTGATACAGTAAAAGGCTGTTTGGGGCGAATTGGGCTATCGGCTCAGTAGGATTGCTTAGTTGATCTAACCTCCATATGGGCTGACGCTGATCATGGGCTTTACATGGGCGAGTTGCCATGGCCCATGGGCTGTCTTGCGCGGAAGAGGCGTGCGTGGCAGTTGATGGCGGTGTCGCCGTGAGAGAACGGAGAAGCGGAGAAACCGACCCGTCTCCGCCTCATCCACCGCTCCGCCACGATGCTCGCGACCGCCGCCCCGCGCCTCCGCGCCGCCGCGTGGGGCAGCCTCTCGCCGCCGGCGCCAGTGCGGGCGCAGTTCGTGAGTCTCCCGCTCAGTCTCCCCGGCCGCTACGCCTCGCTGCGCCTGCGCGCCTCGGCGGCGGCGGCGGCGAAGGAAGGGGCGGAGGAGATGGGGTTCGAGGAGATGGCGGCCGGGACGCGGAGGCGCTACTACATGCTCGGCGGGAAGGGCGGGGTCGGGAAGACGAGCTGCGCGGCGTCGCTGGCCGTGCGCTTCGCCAACAACGGGCACCCCACCCTCGTCGTCTCCACCGACCCCGCGCACTCCCTCAGCGACTCCTTCGCGCAGGTCGCCTCCCCCGTCGAGCACCTGCTGTCTCGGTTCGAGGTTTCTTGTGTGCGTACTGCGTAGCTAACATCACTTCCTGCCTACTCATTTTAGGATTTGAGCGGCGGGGCGCTCGTGCCGGTCGAGGGGCCTGAGGCGCCATTGTTTGCGCTTGAGGTGAGCGGTATTAGTATATGAAAATCTTAGGGCATCCATTTGCTTTGAGAAGCTTTGGGCTATGCAACATAATCATTTAGATTGTAATGAAGTGTTAGCATATGAACATCGTAGAGAACATCCATTTTGCTTTGAGAAACTTTGAGCTATGCAATATAATCATTTAGCTTCTACAGTAATAAGCTGAAAACCTCTACCTGTGAAATTCTAGGATTTGTTTGGAATCAGAATGATTTAATTTAGATCAACCTTCTGATTGACTTACTCTAGATCAATATAGATAGTGCTTGAGTGTGGCATATTCGAGTTTTAATGCAGATAAATCCTGAGAAAGCCCGAGAAGAGTTTCGTGCAGCAAGTCAGAAGAATGGAGGGACTGGGGTAAAGGACTTCATGGATGGCATGGGACTGGGAGTGCTTGCTGAGCAGGTGCAAGGCTGCATATCTGTTTACTGTCGCTCTCTGTATTTCATCACCTCCCATTATGTCTGAATGTTGTGGTCCTTGTGTTCGTGAATTTGCCTGAATTGCTTTGTTTAACTTTGGTATTACCATCTTATTCCATATAGCTGGGGGAGTTAAAACTGGGGGAGTTATTGGACACACCACCACCAGGATTGGATGAAGCAATAGCGATTTCAAAGGTGAGAAAAAGCAGGTCATGGGCTTTACCTGGTTCATCTTGTTGTTCTTCTTCTAGCATGTGACTCCTACTTGCATCCAGGTTATGCAATTCCTTGAAGCACAAGAGTATAGCATGTTTAGACGCATTGTTTTTGACACTGCTCCAACGGTAACTATCCTATATATGTGAATCCACAATTGACTCCATACGCACATTCACATTATTACCTATGATTTGTCTCCCTCATCAACAGGGCCATACACTCCGTTTATTATCCTTGCCAGATTTCCTGGATGCATCTATTGGGAAGATCTTGAAGGTATTATTTGCTTGATTGCTTCTGCACCTTTTGCTATCATGCTACGATGTAAGGCCTGCAGTACATACATAATTGATGAAGAAAATGTGTATTATCTTGTGTAACTATTATCCTGCCTATCGTCACACAAAACAAAGTCATTTTAGAATGTGTGTAGTCAACACAAGTTAACTTTGACCATAAATATCACTTAAAATATAGGTTTTGGGGCTATGAAAAATGATATATTTAAGTTTGCCATAACAAGAGATTTCATAATACTACACTTATGTAACCTTCTTTTAAAAAAAATGCTAAAGAACTAGGTAGTCAAAGTTGTATAATGGTGACCAGAGAGAGTAGCCACTACAATCTTGTTATTTTTGTGGCTAAATGGTAGCGGGAAGCTTATTGCATTTCTGCTATTATTCATTTGTGTTCGTTTGCGCAGCTTCAGATTGTGCTTTTTTTTTGTTAACTTGTGAAATTGGAAGGCTGCCTATCTTGTTGAATATTTATCTGCTCAAATACATTGTTTACATCTTTTTCATCAGAGTTTTTTAGACACTTGTTAGAAGAAACCGCTTATCCTTGTTCTGCTTCATATGATGAAATATCATGTCTCTGGAATTTAATAAGGAATTAATGCAAAGTTATTCTTCAAGTCCTGTTACCAAGAGCTAGGCATTCCATCTAAGTTGTGGTTTGTCATACTGATTTATCATCTTTTTTTTTCCAGCTTAGGAGCAAGATCGCTTCTGCAACATCAGCTATTAAATCAGTTTTTGGACAAGAAGTTCAACAGCAGGATGCAGTAAGTATTTGCCTAAAATTCCTCTGAACTTGGTGTTTCTTCACCATGTCTTTAAACCTTTGAATTTGTTATTCTCCCCCTTAAGGCAAACAAATTGGAGCAGCTGAGAGAAAGGATGGTCCAAGTGCGAGAACTTTTTCGTGACACAGAATCAACTGAATTTATAATTGTGACTATTCCAACAGTAAAGATTCTGTGTATCCATTCCCCCACCACCTTCTGTATGTATTTATCAGTGTAATAGCCATCTTTATATTTCCTTTTGGCATTTTTCAGGTGATGGCAATAAGTGAATCAGCAAGACTACATTCTTCCCTAAGAAATGAAAGTGTTCCCGTTAAGAGACTCATTGTTAACCAAATTCTACCACCTTCGTCATCAGACTGTAAATTCTGTGCTATAAAAAGAAAGGTAGAGTTCATAATCTGCCGAAATGATTCTCTAGTAATTGTCTGCTGCTTGTAGAAACTGTGTTGCAGGGCCATTTACCATCTTCTTTCATCCAGGATCAAACACGTGCTTTGGATATGATAAGGAATGATCCAGAGCTAATGGGGCTGAACTTAATCCAAGCACCTCTTGTCGACATGGAAATAAGAGGCGTTCCTGCTCTGAAGTTTTTGGGCGATATAGTATGGAAGTAACTTCACAATGGAAAATACGATAAACTTCATCACACCTACTTATTGAAGTGCTTTGCAATGCAAACTTTGGTAGCTGCAAGTATCAGCATGGATAGAGCTAGAATGCAAGTGTGCAACTTAGCAGATGCCCAATCTCATGTGAGTAAGTAGCATCTCGCTGAAGGTTTGCCGGAATAGCATATACTAGGGGGATTGTGTTCTAAAAAAAAAGGGGGGGGGATTGGATCAAGCTGCACTAATATCAAGTCCATTGAGGCAACATGCCGGTGATATTTCTGCTTCTTTATCCCTTTAATAGGAGCGATTCTGAGGGTTTTGAGTCCATAACTTTGCACTAAAATTAATTTTGTTCGTGCATCATGTAAAGTCGGTTAGAGAATGAAGAATGGAGAAAATCAGACAACACTTTTAAGTAAATTTTCTTACAGATTAGTGTGACTTAAATGTAAATAGACAATATTGACAAGACAGCTGCAGCAGTTGAGATTTTAATTTAAGTAGCTGAAAATTCTAGGAAAAACTATCCTACGGGGTAAGTTTTTCAAACAGAGGTAGGGGTAGTATACACAATGGACGTTGCAGTACTGATAAACCAGTGACTGGGGTAGTAATCTTCCTTTCTGTCTTTCGTAGTACTACAAGACGGTTGAAGATCTTTTCCATCCTATCGAGATGTACTACTCCACTTCTGTTCTGTGCAGGTTGAATATATGTGGCCCAATCACATCTTGCCACTAAAAATCTTACATTTATCCATATACTCCACGAACAGTAGATTTTACTCATCCCTGATTAGACCCAAAACAATCATGAGCACGGTAGACAACACAAGCTTAGGGCGTCTTGCACGATTAGGTATTGTTCGGTTTAGAGGGGATTGAAGAGGATTAGAGGGGACTGAGGGGTAATAATTTCACACCATAATAGGTATTGAATAAATCCCCTCTAATCCCTTCCTCATGAGAATTAACCGAACAAGCCCTTACCCCGCTACACCCAAAAATGTTTCCGCTGGGGTGCAATACTGCTATCGATGGCTTCTTACGTAGGAATTTCATTTTTCTAATATTTTTTCATTAAAAATTGTACAAATATGACAAATCTCTTTTATAAAACAAAGGTTTCTATAGAAATTATGCGAGCACATATGTTCACATATACACATATTTCATATTTATGACTAATTATTTTTTTCAACGACACCGACAAATCCGTCAATAGGCTTTATTTTTCTTTCACAAAGCCCGTAAACTTCCATAGGAGCCTACTACATCAGTGGCTTCGTGCCGCACTAACGAGGCATCTATAGTGATTGACTTTATCAATGTAAAATATGACAGCCAAATATTTTGATGGGAGGTGTTCATGGTTATATGTACGTTTATACTCCGTATGAGTGAGTAGCACTCCCTCCGTTCTGAGATATTTACTAGTACTACGAATCTGGAAATACTCTTTATTCAGATTCATTGTACTATAAAAGTATCTCATATATCCAAAAATTTTTATATTTTGAGACCGAGTGAATATATGTTTGTGGTTTTCCTACATGTGAGTAGAGTGCATCAGTGGATATTAGAGCCTCCACGATATGGGAATAGTATCAGCCAGTGTGTTGATGACGTCAAAGCTCAAAGGGTAGATGAAAAGTTCATGCTTCAAAAATGGCATGTCTTGGAAACTGGGATTTTCCTAATAATGAGAAATCCTATGTGCAGAGAGGAGACAAAAGCACTGCTCAACACACTGCAGGCTGCAAAGATTTGCTAGTACTACTACTCCAGTACACAAACACATCATTGGCCACTTCCCTAATCTCATTTAACGTTTGCATAACGCACTCATTCTGCGGTTACTGCATTAGCTACTCATGAATGTGGCTATTTACTAGTAGTACAATTCTAAGTGCCATTCCCAGGAGGAGTGAGCAGCTTCTCCACCCTTAATCAGGGGCGGAGCTAATTGGTTTTGGCGATCAATCTGCCTCGTCGAGTCGTCGTTCCGCCCTCCACACTTCCCAGTTCGCGACTGCGCCAACGATTGCGCGAGCACCGCTGCCGCAACTCAACTCCCGTGACCGACGGCGGCAATCGGTGGCCGGCGAGGCAGCGATCAGGATCAGGGTAAGTATATTTCATCTCCTCCTCCTGTCCTTTGGCCCTCCCTTCTCTGATCCCTCCCGTCTTCATTAAGCTCTAATCCTAGGTACTAAATTACTAATTTGATTAGTAAGCGGTTAGGCCACTAGAACTTGCGCCCTTGCCGACGGCCAACACGACGCTCGCAGGCCACAAGACAAAAGCTGAATGAAGCACCGGCATCGCATGAACTGATCGCATTGTGTTGGTAAATTCTATACTTCTATGTCGACATATTACATTTATAGTGTTAAAGAAAATTTATGTTCAGTTGGACCATCCTAGCCTAAAATCGTAGCTACGCCACTGCCCTTAAGCCCTTGCCAATGGAGAAGTGGAGGTTCTATGGGGGCCATCAGTTTCAGAGTTACAGCTTTCACGAAGAGGAGAACCTCTTTCAGGATTGGAGGTAAGCAGTCAAAATCTCATGCAAGGTTTGTGTTTTTACTAATACTCTCTGAAGATGCTATCCTTTGCAAAACTTTGCTCATTTTACCTTGTTTTCTTCAAGATGAACTTCTTTTTGCACTCTGCATTAGAAAGAGAACTTCACTGATGCCTGTAATTTATGTTGTACTCTTCATTGACACTGTCCATTTTTGCCATCTTGGAGTCTTGATTACCTGCTGCTGGGAGAGGATGAGCCCTTTTTCACTCACCACTTCAGCACTAGTGTTCATAGCAACTTCGTGCAAGGTAATACAGGTCTCTGTACCGAGGAAGAATGAAGCATCATGTACTCAAGCAAGTATGCAGTAGAAAGTTTTGAAAGTTCATGTATTTTCTATCTATCAATGCAGACGAGCTTTACACCCTCTTCGACGGAGATATCCTGAGCATTTGGGGCGACATGAAAGAAGACGCCTATCACAGGAGCGACAAAGATGGCGGCGAGAAGGAAGAGAAGCTGGATCATGAGAAGGCCATGGAGCTGCAGCTGCAACGACTCCCGAGCGGCCGTCAATCAGGGGAAAAGACACTGACGTTCGAGCTCGTGTCCCAGTACTTCTGCCTGCCGATCAAGCAGGCGGCGCAGGAGCTCAACGTCGGGCTCACGCTTCTGAAGAGGAGATGCAGGGTGCTCGGCATCCCACGATGGCCGCACCGCAAGGTCAAGAGCTTGGAGACGATCATCAAGAATGTCCAGGTAGTATTTTTCCTATCTCATTTTTTTTCTCTCGATTAGATGGAAGAGGTATACACACCAGGGTTTGAAATTTCGGTTCGAAATTAATTTCGGAAATTTCGGCCCCCACCGGTATGCTCAAATCTCGTCCGAAATTTTCGTTTTTTTGCAATTTTTTGTGAATTTGTCAAATTTTATTCAAATTCAGTTAAATTTTCAAATAATTCCGGCCAGAAATTTCCGAAATTTTGGTCACCCCCGGCATAAAATCCAATTTCGAAATTGAAAACCCTGATACACACACGCCCCTGTAGTCCTCTATCCTGGTGATCTTTGATGGGCGAAGTCATTTACCAACAATTCCATTACCTTACCATAAGAGTTTTCCCGTAATTTTCCATCTATGTAAATAGTATAGTGTCTAAGTTTATATCTGAGCAAATCTGAATTTCATGTCCTGCAGGAGCTAGGGATGGAGACTGGCCAAGACGAAGATAATACTAGGAACGCAGTGGAGATGTTGCAGCAAACAAAGAAGCTCATCGAGCAAAGTCCTGATGCTAAGCTGGATGATTGGACGAAGATGTTAAGGCAAGCGTGTTTCAAGGAGAACTACAAGAGGAGGAGGCTCCTGGCGATTGAAGGATGAAGAGGGATATGTAGCAAGGTGACTCTGCTTGTAGATGGTAACATCAGGATAGTGCAGGTAATCAGGTTATTTTGGCTGATCAAATGTGTAGGCAGTAATTTCTAGTCAGGCTTTTAGGTATGACCCAAGGCAGAAAAGTAGGAATTTTTGCTGTATATACCTCTTTTCTAGCCAAGTCTTCACTGATAGTAACAGTACTAGTTTGGTATGTTGGTCATGGGAAGTATCATGTATATATCTGTTTTCAGACACGATCTGGCGTGTGAACAACTAGTGCTTTTAGTTCTGAAAATAAAGATGGCGTCTTTTGCTGCACATTTGTTCTGTGGAGAAATTCAGAATTGCATGAAGAACAGCTAAAGTAAACCATTTCATGTCATTCACCATTCGTCAGGAAACATGAACCATGCAGAAACATGGAGCTTATATAGTAGTACATTGAGTTCACACCGAAGATTGGTGTGCTTCAGTAATCCAACCAAACTGCCCCCAAGTCTGAACATCACCTTGTGTTGTACAAGAAAATCGGACAGGGTCGATCGGTACACAGCCTCTCTCTCTTATCCATCTCTACTTACGCTTGTTCAAATCTGTTTGATCAGCCGCGAATCTGTACTATACATGCACACTGATCCACCGCAAATTGCAGTTTCTAATGCCTCAAGAAAATGAAGCAAAGTGTTCGATCGCGGTCGTGGTCATGGCAGCTCAGGCTCACAAGGTGACCTTCTCCATCTCGCGGCGGAGGGCGGTGGCGCGGACGAGGCTGCCGATGGTGTTGACGGCGAGCTTGATGTCGTCGAGCGGGTTGCCCGGCACGACGCGCTTGTAGAGGTAGCTGTCGAAGGTCATCCTCTGGACGTAGTCGTCGGCGCACATCTCGACGAACGCCTCGCGGGCGGCGTTGGAGCGGTAGAACACCTTCTGGAGCACGTCGAGCACCTTGTACGTCGGCCAGTAGAGGCGGTCGAACTCGGCCAGGTACCTGCGCAGGTCGCTCTCCTCCACCATCCGCGTCCCGTTCGCCGACCCGGCCACGATCGCCTCCGCGCACATCCGCCCGCTCTTCGCCGCGAAGTAGATCCCCTCGCCGGAGCACTTTGTCACGTACCCCGCCGCGTCCCCCACCAGCGTCACCCTCCCCGCCACCCTGTCGAACAGGTGTCAACCCCGACCGATCGACCAGCCATTGATTTGATGCAGAAATGCTTGTGGATTCTGGCATTGTTGATTACCTCTTAGGCCTCGGGTGCTCGGGGATGGGGTGAGCCTCGACGCGGATGATCTTGCCGCCCTCGATCCGGTCCTTGGCGCGAAGGCGGGTGGCGGCCTGGAACTTCTTGATGTCGGGCTTGTGGGTGACGGTGCCGGTGCCGACGGCGACGTGGTCGCACTTGGGGAACACCCAGCCGTAGAAGTCCGGCGAGACGTCGTCGCCGACGTACATCTCGGCGCGCTCCTCGTAGTACTTCATCTTGTCGTCGGGGATCTTGACGCGCTCCTGGAACGCGATGGCGTACTCGTAGTCGCCGGCGCCCATGTCCTTGGCGACGCGGGAGTTGGCGCCGTCCGCGCCCACGATCGCGTCCACCTCGAACGTCCGCTTCTCGCCGCCGGCCTTGCCGTTGGAGCTGTCGTAGTGGTTGTAGTGCACCACGTACGACCCGTTGGGTTCCTTGGGCGCCTCATACCTTTCAAACAACAGAGACGACATGATCCAAAAACATGTTTATTTTCCCCAATAAACTTGTAATAGTGTTAATGCACAGGGCAGCATAAATCAAGTAAAAATGTTGCAATCACACCGAATGGGCCTAGTTTAGAACATGGAGGTATTTCTTTATACATGTGGTGCTGAATTATGTTTCAATGAAATTTTTGCTGGACTTTACGGAAATCAATAGTTAGAATCTTGCAACATATCCAAACATCAAGCCATTATCATTTTTTTTCATTATTTCAACATGCACGTACAAATTAGTATTGCTTTTTTACAGGTATTAGAAAATTGGGGTTTCCACGCAGATAGACTGTTCCTAAGATAAATTTGCAACAAATATTCATGCTATTTTACGGTTGCTAGAATTCAGGGTGGTTCTACAAACATGCACAAATCTTCTGAACAGTACTAGAAATTTTGGGTTTTGCACACATGCACACAGATCAGCTCTTGGTGAGGCAGTAGTAATAAACAAACATGTACATTTTCGTGCAGGTACTATATAATTTTGTTCATCATCGTGCAAAATTAGTGTTCAGTGCGCACAAAGGTTCAGAGCAATCAGAAATCCAACACGATGGCAGAAGTTTTTACTCACAAAATTCACAATGCATGTGACTGAGTTAGCAATATACCTCAGGAAGAGACCATTGACGACCTCGGCGCCGGCCCCCTCGGCGCGGGAGCGGAGGTAGGCGTCGAGCACCTCGCGGCGGACCATGCCGATGTACTCGTGCGGCGCGAGCGTGCCGCCGATGTCGACGGCGACGTTGGACGGCGAAATCATCTTCATCTTCCTCACCTTCCTGTCGACGAGGTCCAGCGGCAGGTCGAACTCCGACACCATGCACAGCGGGATGGCCCCGCCGCAGGGCTTGCAGTTGTCCAGCTTCCGTTCGATGAGCACCGTCTCCACGCCGCCCTTGGCCAGCGCCTCCGCCGCCGCGCCGCCCGCGGGTCCGCCTCCGACCACCGCCACCCGCAGCCGCCGCCCGCTCGGGAGCTTCGGGCTCGACGCCGCCGCGCGCGTCACCAGCCTCGCCATCCTCCTGCCGCGGCTCATGCCCCCACGAACCGACGACGGCATGACGAAGGTGGCGCGCGCCGCGGCGGCGGAGGACGACAGCGAGGTCATCGTTTCTGTGGCTTCTCCTCCTCGGATTCGGAAAAGATCTCTCTCGTTTGAGCTCGACCTGGCGGTGGAGGAGTGAGCGCGAGAGTGAGACGCGAGCAGAGGGTGGGAGTAGTGAAGTGTTAGGTTTGGGGGGCGAGTAGTGGATAGGATGAGGGGAGATTGCGGGGGACACGAGCCGTTGGATCGAGCGATTGGACGGCGCGGATTGGATACGGATGAGGTTTTTGTCCGCTTTCTCCTTCGCCGTTTGATCCGCGCGAGTGGCTGACGCTTTGCCAGGTCGGAATTGAATCTTTTGGATCGTTGTGTACTGTATGTGATGGACGATACTTTGCCACGTCACGTCGTACTGTTTGTTGATCAACGTTTTTGTACCGTGACGCTTGTGTAGTTGTAATAGTACACAGTGCTACGCGTGCTGACAAGCTTGAAGAAGTGCTTGCTTGATTATCTACTGTATCAAGTGTGGCGGGTGCCACAGTGATCGTTGTATTATTGTATCCATCATGATTAAAATCTTGATGCCCACAGACTTGTCGTTGGTCTCTGTTTTTTTTTATCGTGTGCTGGGGTGTCTATTTGCGGAATTGCGTGTATGTGAGCATGGTGTGCATGTATGCGTATTTCGTGTAATCAGAAAACATATTTGGTAACGATGAGTTTTGGCAATAAAAAGAATTGGGTGGCAAATGATTGTGTTGGGTATTTTTTTAACCAATATTTTACGGCAATGCTAGATATCGCATATCATTCTTAGCTTCCAGAATGAGATCCTCTTCCTCCCTCATGCGGGTATGGCAAAGAAACGATGCAGAGGCAGCCAGATTTCACGGGGGCTGTTGCAGTGCTTCAATGAAGAGTGATTTCTTCGAACACGGGATTGGTGTCACGCCCCGAACTATTACCGACCGGAACTAGCCCGTGACGCTCCAAATTAACCTGTTAATCGATACCAGTCCCAGAAAACAGTGCTGGTATCACAGGAAGACAGAATATCACAGCAACAGAGGTCTCTTTATTATAGAGTAGGAGTACAATCAAGTCGGGCTGCGGACAGATCCCGAGCTCACAACCGCATTACAAAAGGGAAGCGGAAGCCAGGACTTGGACCAAACAACACAGGCGCGACTTGGGAACTAGGCCGAAACCCTAAAACTCATCGTAGCCGGCTTGCTCCTGGAAGAACTCCTCGTCAGCGGGATCCGCTTCATCTTCTTCAGCAACTGGGGGGGATTATTTATGTAGAGCAAGGGTGAGTACGGGAGTACTCAGCAAGCCATGGGAAATAAGTGTTTAATGCAGGCTTCAAGGAAAGGCTGTTGTTTTTGTAATTGATTTTATTTGAACTCTTTTCTGAAAGCAACTAAGTGAGTGCTTCTCAAACGACATGGATGAGACAGTGCGTCTCGTCCGGTTGAAGTATGTGCAATGTATCAGTCTTTAGAATTGAATCAAGGTTGGCACCCGGCCAACAGCTTTTCAAACGGCCACCCGGGCCAACAACTTTCAAACGGCCACCCGGGCCTAGCTGATCCCATCAGCTGCAGATTTTTCAAACATCGAACCCCTTTCCACAACAGCAATTTCACAAGGCAGTAGTCAAACAACACTACGCAAGGAATCACCTCACATCCGCCCATGACCGTGGGCACGGCTGTTCGAACAGTTTGTTAACCTCTGCAGAGGGGGTACACTTTACCCACACGACATTACTAACCCGGATCACCCAGCCCGTGGGGATCAGCCACGTCGGGAGACCTCCAAGCTTTCATGACAAGGCATTTCGTAAGCCGACACAGGTTTACCATATGCCGACGAGAGGGGTCCCAGACCAACAACAGGTTAGGTCCCAGACCATACTATGCCAGGAAGCCCAGGGGTCCTCCCCGACACCACCCCGGCGAATCCACATGTCTCTCGGCATCAAGGCTCCCTTGATAAGCTAGTTACTCAGCCAGGGGTGTCCCATTCCACCCATGTGGTCGTACTTGTCTTATGTTCGGATGAAATTCCAAGGAAACGGTCCTTAGGTGCAAGAGCGGGAAACCGTACACCCGGTACGTTCCCCGATTCGCGGTTTTGGAAATTCATTTAGTTCGCAAGCACCGACTCAGGTGTCGGGTTTTCCAAGCCTTTTGTAAAACCCAAGTTTTACCCAAGAAGTTTTTCAGATTTTAAGTTTGAAGGCGACCGTCGATACTCGCACAGGGTGCACGAATATCGAGGCACAACTAGATGGTTACAAGGGGACATGATATAACAATTAACAAAGGAAGGATCAAATGCAACAAATTAGGTAGGTCCGCCAATCTGCCTTGCAGACGGGACAAACAGATTAAGTGCGATCCTATCAATGCGTAATATTTTTCAAGTAACATAATTAAATTCAAATATAGGCTCAAGATGCTCAAAGGTGGCTTGCCTTGCTCGAGATCTGGAGCTTGATCCTCGAAATCCTCGCACTGCGAGTCTTCGGGCTCCGAAACTACACGCGAAACGGGACAACTCAACAAACGGCGAAAATAAAGCCCTATTAAAGACCTCTAAGCGTGCCATTAGATAGATCTCGAGATTTGAGGAATTTTGGAAGTTGAACGGAGTCAAACGGATTTACGGTTGGGAAGATATTGAATTTCTAAGATTATTGGATTTTTGGGTCTAAAGTAAAAG